GGTAATTACAGCCACCTCAGGGAGGAATAAGGCTTGGCATCTGAACCACTGCAGAATCAGTATTGTTAGCAATGAGATATTATCATACAGCTTCACACAGCTAAAAGGAGGATGTGGGATGTTTCCAACACAAACAAATTAGGAACTTTTGAGATGGTGCATTTGCTAATTACTATGATCTGATTGCTCTACGTTACAGATATCGAAACATCGCTCTGTATCCCATGAATAGGGGCAGTTAGTCTGTGTCAATTTATTTTTTATTTATTTATTTATTTATTTATTGAGTCAGAGCCTCAAGCTGTCACCCTGGGTAGAGTGCCATGGCTTCACTGCTCACAGCAACCTCCAACTCCTAGGCTAAAGTAAGTCTTCTGTCTCAGCCTCCCAAGTAGCTGGGACCACAGGTGCCCGCCACAACGCCCAGCTATTTTTTGGTTGCAGCCGTTATTGTTGTTTGGCGGGCCCAGGCTGGATTCGAACCCGCCACCTTAGGTGTATGTGGCTGGCGCCTTAGCCAGTTAAGCCACAGGTGCCGAGCCGTCTGTGTCAATTTAAAAGTGCGAATGATGGTGCATTTTACAAGGGTACATGTCAAATCTATTAAGTGTAGAGTATAAATGTCTTAACACAATAATTAAGAAAGTGCCCTGAAGGCTAAGTTAACCAGCTTGTTGTATTTCAAATTGTATATAAAACTGGCACATTGCACCCCATAATGCATTAATGTACACAGCTTTGATTTAATAAAAATAAAATTAAAATGTGAATGAAAAAAATCTTAAAGAAAGTTAAATAAGATATGTGGGTGGAATGTGCCCATTTGATAAGATTTACAAGGCCAAGAGTGGTTCTCTGTCCAAACACACTTTAGGACTTTCCGTTAGTGATAATGGGATTGAGACGCAGGCATCAGAATGGCACCTGCAAGAGTTTAACAGAATCAAATGAAACAGCACAGGGGTGGCTGAGTGTCAGCTGGTTGCCATGAGATTGGGTCAGCCTTTGTATATCCGTTCACCCTGAGAAGCACTGGGGTTTCTGGTTCTTCCAGACACACAAATTCCTTTTCCACCCTGAAACCTACTTTGGGCCACTTGCCCTGACTCTCTGTCTTTCCTTCCCCTTTAACTGTGAGTTAAAATGTCCCTCCCCGCAGCTTGCCACTCGGGGTCCCTGTGCACAGGGCTGACAGGCACAGACGCAGGCTCTCATTCTGCCCCTCCTTCCCTCACTCCCTCCCTCCCTCC